CCGATATCGGTATCGGTGCATCCCTAGTAGCAACACTTGATTATATTTTTTAACAATACCTTCTTAAGTGATTAACGAGGGGAAACATTCGCAGCATTCACATTCACTCAGCATACTAAACGTGCAGTACATAATTTGAATGAGGCTTGTAAACAGTATTAATCTTGCATATGTAAATGTGTTAGTTGTGAGTCCGATGATGCAAAAATATTTAGCCCTATGCCAGGATTGATCAGTCAGTGCAGCTCACCCTTCATTTCTGCAGGCCAGCTCATAGCAGTGGACATGAAATCAATTCTTGTGTTGGAATATTTGTATTGTCCAGTCATCCCAGTAGTTTAAAGATCTACAGTAATTGCTGAGGCAGTGCTAGTGATGACTCAGCGGTTAAATTAGTGTCAGTAGCTGAAGGCCAAAATCACCAAGTATAATATAGTTCAGAGGTGACCTTTCTGACCAACTCGGTCGTTTGTGTTTTTCTTTTCATGAAATATAAAGCTATATTCTGGCCCTGTCACCCTGTGAGCAAACAAGCGTTTGAGAAAATATTTCATTTTTGCTTTCTTTTAGGTCAAAGTTGTGCTCAGATTTCCTTCTTTCCTCTTTGAAGGTCTTTGACTCATCTTGCTGGTATCGTCAAACTCTTGTTCCTCCTCTGCAGGATCAATGTGTTTCATCTTGTCCTTGCTAACACATCTCGCTGTCTCTGTCTCATTTTTTTGTCCATGCAGGCGCCCATGTACTGGTTCCTTAGGGTCATCGATTACCGCAGATGAATCTTCAGCTGCTTTGCCATAGCTCAGCAGCCAGATAGTCCCATCGCCTTTGCGTGGGTGATAAGGGACTACATTAACCAGGATGCCCTCCTCCGTAAGGGCAGGGAGCCTCAAGGATCCGGAGGTGGCTGAGCTTTTCTTCAAAGAAGATCCAGAGAAGCTTTTCTCCGACCTCCGAGAAATTGGCCATGGCAGCTTTGGCGCCGTCTACTTTGTAAGGGAACTGCATCTTTACTCTGACACAAACAAAAGACAGAGTCACTTTGGATTAGATGAGTGGTTAAAAAAAAACTGTACACTTTAAAAAGTGATAAAATCAGTTAAATCGTGTAACACCGAGCCCATAAACTCCACAGGAAAGTGTTTATTTGGATGTAAATGTCCTCAGAGGTGTCCCTGCCTTTTGGCCATTATAGAGAATGCAGGTTAAATATACTCCTGGCTTCATTTTTCAGACTCGAAAGTTACTTCCATCTTTTAAAGAGTTCTTGATAAACAACATCTCAAATGCAGATAATTAATGTTACAGTGTATGTTCTGATTGCAGCATGTAGCAACAGTGTCCTTCTCGTTTCCCAGGCACGGGATGTGCGCACAAACGAGGTGGTGGCAATTAAAAAGATGTCCTACAGTGGCAAACAGTCTAATGAGGTGAGAAAATTGCGGCCAGAAAATAGATAAAAAAAACACATATTTATGCAGCAAATCATGAGGCATTGATGCCAAATAGTCCAAATCCAAATATAGAAAGAACGTTATAGGTGAACATTGTGCTGTTTCTGAGCTTCCAGCAAAGTGGAATTCACTTTCACTGAATCAGTAACTTTGCTGCAGACACAGCCACCTCTGGTTCGCTAAGCCAGTCAGCGATTGCTATTTAAATCTTTATTTCCCCAACAGAAATGGCAGGACATCATAAAGGAGGTGAAGTTCCTCCAAAGGATCCGGCACCCCAACAGTATAGAATATAAAGGATGTTACCTCCGTGAGCACACAGCATGGGTGAGTCTAGTTTACAGGCATGCATAATCTCACACTGCCTAGCACCGCTATTCTTAAAATGATGTCATGTTTCCAGCTGGTGATGGAGTACTGTCTTGGCTCGGCCTCTGACCTGCTAGAAGGTGAGGAGCAAACAGTTGTTTTTACTCTTCTAAATGACATGTGGATATTTGAGTGAGTTCACATTGTTCTGGTTGTTTTCCTACAGTTCATAAAAAACCTTTACAAGAAGTTGAGATTGCTGCCATCACACATGGTGCTCTGCAGGGGCTGGCCTACCTTCATTCCCATAATATGATCCACAGGTGAGTGAGGTCCTCCATCAACTGTTTATTTTATTTTATGATATTTTAAGTATCTTAGGAAGCAACTGTAAACACTACATCTCTCCACTTATCCACATGCTGTGATGTTCTCTCTCTCTCACTCTCACTCTCACTCTC